AGGGAGGTCCAGCAAGGAAGATTCGTATCAGCAAAGGAAATGAATTTTTTGCCGTAGGGACGAAGTATACGTTGCACTACATCTAGAGAAGACAGTGAACTTTTTTGGGATTGAAAATTCTTCTATTCAATATAAAGAACAGAATTACAATAGGAGGAGAAAACTCTCACACTCAACTATTACAAAAAAACAATCCTCACCAATACACTTCTACACTAAGTGTATTTCACTCTTCACACACTTTTTTTCACTTTCTAAACTGATGAGTATGAACAAGATGAAGCACTCTATTTATAGGACTAGTTTGGAGACAAGAGGAAGTTGCATCCAAGCTTCTCCATATCTTCTCCCACACCTATTTGTCGAACATGAGTACCTTCAGCTTCGTCTTCAGATGAAGGCTCCCCCTGCTGAGGAATATCATCATTGTGATCATCATCATTACCTACTGAACCATCACTCTCTTGCTCAGTAGTATCATGCATCTCTTTGTCGTTGAGAGGAATGTTTGATGATACAGGGACTTCGTCTTCTGGAGTATGTTGTTTGCAGATTATTGGAGCACACTCATGAAACTCGTTTTCATGAAATACAACATCTCTGCTTCGTATAACTTTCTTCACTTCGGGATCCCACAACCGGTATCCAAATTCTTCATCTCCATAGCCGATGAAAATGCATGAGTTTGACTTGAGATCAAGCTTCTGTCTCAACTCCTTGGACACATGTGCAAACGCCTTGCACCCGAACACTTTCAAGTGAGAGTAAGAAACATCTCTTCCTGGCCATTTCTTCTCTCGCACTTCAAAGTTTAAAGGAACAGAAGGTGACCTGTTTATAAGATAACAAGCTGTCAGCACAGCTTCACCCCAGAATGGCTTCGGTAGTTTTGTCATACTCAGCATGCAACGAACTTTCTCCACAATGATTCGGTTCATTCTTTCGGCTACACCATTGTGTTGTGGAGTTCTTGGAACCATCTTCTCATGTCTGATTCCATATGCGGCGCCATATGCTGAGAATTCCCGGGAAGTGTACTCTCCTCCATTGTCTGAACGCAAACACTTTAACTTCTTCCTTGTTTCTCTTTCCACCATGGCATGAAATAGTTTGAAACGATCAAACACTTGATCCTTACTCTTTAGACAGTAAGCCCATACCTTTCTTGAAGCATCATCAATGAATGTCACAAAATATCTGCTCCTCCAAGTGACTCCTCTTCAATGGGCCCGCATACATCAGAGTGGACAAGACTGAGTAACTCTGAATGGTTCTTCCTGGTAGAACTGAAGGAAACTCTGTGTTGTTTCCCAAATAGACAGTGCTCGCATGGATCTAGGGAAACACCTTTGCCTATGGAAATGGCTTCCTTCTTTGCAAGAGTTGTCAATCCCTTCACGCTCAAGTGGCCTAACCTCTGGTGCCATAAGTTTGGTGATGTCTCTTCTTCAACATAATTTAGACTTGGATGACACAACTTTGCATGAGTTTTATAAAGAGTACCACAAATATGTCCTCTTGCAACAATCAAGGAACCTTTAGATAACTTCCAGATACCTTCTTTGAATCGGTTAAGGTATCCTTGCTGATCCAGAGCTGTACCTGAGATAAGATTCAATCTAAGATCCAAAACGTGTCGAACATCTTTCAACACAAGTGCGCATCCGACATTAGTTGTTATGTGCACATCACTAATGCCAACAACCTTCGAGAAAATGGAGTTTCCCATCTTCACAGCTCCAAAGTCTCTGGACTTATAAGATGTGAATACGTTCTGGTGTGGAGTGGCGTGCAATGATGCGGCTGTATCAACCACCCACTCAACATCATGAGTACCTACGTGTAAACATTCTTGTTCACCATGTGTAACAAGTAACACGTCTGATGACAAACTAACCATGATCGCACCATCTTCTTGGCTAGTATTTTCATGACTCGTCTGTGGCTGCTCTCGTAGAAACTTTCTACAATCTCTTTTCCTATGCCCATAATTACCACGGTTATTGGAATATCCTTCAAACCAAGTATTGTTTTCAAAGGTTATACCTCTCTCTTGTGATCTGTCGCGAACATGAGAATTTCCTCTACTTTGACCTTGGTCTCTACCTCGACCTCGACTTCTTCCTCCATTTCTGCCTCCCCCACACACTATGATTGATCCACTGTCGAATTCGTGCGACAGTTTTTCGATTCATTTCTATCCATTCTTCATCCGTCTTTTTATCCGTTTTGACGCCATTATTATCAAGAGGATCGGCTAATATAAATCCCTCAAATTTAGCAAATCCTTCACCTGAGGCTTCCACATATTGTAGTTTGTGGAAGTGAGCGCAATCATGGTGTCCGACGATGATTTATCCATAATAAAACGCTCAATATATCTCGTGCCTTATTTTCAAAGCCGAATTTGGACAAATGGAGCTCACCTTTGGATCCAGAATGGTCGCAAATGGTAGGAACCGGCCCGACCTCGGCCACAACCGGTCTGGAAACGGTTGAACCGGCCTCCACAACTACGAACCGGTTCGGTCCGGTTTAGGCAGCAGCCTAGTGGGCAGACCAGCAGGCGGATGACGTGGCAGCAGCTGGCGCTGGCGTGATTCTGACGTGACGCTGACGTGGCAGCGGGCACGGATTATTTGGATGGCGTGGACGATGACCCAGCACGACGTGGCGATGACATGGTCCGGTGTGGCGCTGACGTGGCGATGACGTGGTGGCCGACGTGTCTCGTCTTCTTCCTCTGGATTGTGTGATGACGCAGTGATGATGCGGCGTTTGGGCGGCGCATACGGACTCTTCCGGTGGCCAAAAAATTACCCAAAATACCAGATTTCTCCTCTCGACGAGACGAATCTAACGGTATGATCAGATCGTGATTCCGAGCAACTTCAAAAATCACGATTTTCTAACTTGTAGAAATTTTTCTGAAAAATAAGAAAAAGTGTATGGAACTCAACCTCGCTCTGATACCACTTGTTGGGATTGAAAATTCTTCTATTCAATATCAAGAATAGAATTACAATAGGAGGAGCAAACTCTCACACTCAACTATTACAAAAAACCAATCCTCACCAATACGCTTCTACCCTAAGTGTATTTCACTCTTCACACATTTTTCTCACTTTCTAAACTGATGATTATGAACAACATTGAGCACTCTATTTATAGGACTAGTTTGGAGACAAAAGCAAGTTGCATCCATGCTTCTTCATATCTTCTCCCACACTTATTTGTACGTTGGAGAGTTCTTTAATTTACAAGAAGGTGCTTCTATGTTAAGGTGTCTCTTGGCAACTTCCAAGAAAAAAGGTGGGAGATCCTTATAAACTTTTGTTCGCTCTGTTTTAATTAATAATAATAAATCATTCTTTTGGGATTGGCACACCATACACATGGTGGATCGATCCAACGGTATAATTTGGGGTTTTAGGGAGGATAAAAGAATTGGGAGCACACAATTTTTCTACTATTGAACTTTACTCACCTATAGGTATTTCGTCACCCTCCTATATCCCCTCACATTCCTTTTTAATTTTCATCTCAAATCACGGTTAACAAAAACCAAAACCTATTTGTTTTCAAAAAACTTTTTATAATCTAATAGAGTTTTTACATTTTTTGTCCCTCAACTATTGTGTCTGACTGTCTGTGATATTTTTTATACTTGACTTTCAATTTTTTCATTTTTAATCCTCGAGTATTGTGTGAGAGACACTTCTAATTAAAAAAAAAAGAACCAAAAGTGTCTTTCGCACATTAATCGATGAACTAAAAGTAGAAGAATTCAAAGTCGAGTAACAAAGATGTAAATGACATAATAGTCATTGACATCTATATTAGTCGGGGAATAAAACTGGCAAAAATCTAGTGGAAAATAAAATTGATACAGAGCTTGGTACTTGGTAGTGTATTCGTGTCCTGCGGAAACAATATATTCCTTTATAGTTTATATTTATAATAAATAATTTAATTATACTTGTAATCGTCAAACTTAGTTAGCTATAATCTAAAGAAGCTTACTTCACTAAAATTTAAGTCTTCCTCTCAGTTTGCTTGACATGTTTAAAAGATGTTGTAATACAGATAATAATAGTCAAAAAGATTTAAAAAAACAATACAATCTCCACAAATATTTCTACAAATGATGAATTCGTTTGGTAATACCAAAATGAGCTGAATCGGGTGATTCTGGTGAAGTTTGTGAAATTCTGGATGAAGTGGCTTTATTGGCTGATTTTGCTTATTTATGAAAAAAAAATATTTAAAATATATATCATTAATAAAATAAAGAAAAAATTATATGTAAAACTAGCTAAAATGGTTCTCTACAGTAACTTCAGTACAGTCAATACAGTCATGAAAAGAAACTTTGACCTTACTTTTTTTTATTATTACACAATTCAACGTTTGAAATCAAAAGTTACGTGTTTGGTGAAAAAATTGTCTGAAAAGTCCGATAAGCCGAAAAACATGATTACCAAACGGGCTCGATATAACCAAATAATGAACGATGAGACAAAACTCTAAAACATGACCATGTGCCTTTGTTATTTTATTGATAAACCTTGTTTTTTAATATTCGATGTATATTGTTACAAAATTATTATTATTACACGAAAGGAGTGTTATAGACACGTACAAACTGTCAAACACCAAGATGATACTCCTACTTCAGTGAGGAGGAATTAAGCATATTACTGTGGGCCACCCCCTTCGCAAGAATGTCAAAGAAAAAACACGATTTCAAACAGATTTAGCTTCTTTAATCATGTCGATCGTTTCAATTAAAATGAAATCAAGAATGAACCCAAAACCACAAAGTCATCATTCAACTTTTAATTTTGGAGCTAAACTCGGTCCCATCACGCTAATGACAAGATTAAGTGACTCAAAAGTTAATACGTGTAACGACAAGCATATCCCGTGTGGGCCACCACCACCGTCCGACCACCTCCGATAAATACCCCACTCGACCATTTCGTTCCCTCCCTTTCCCTCTCCGATCTCCCTCCCCGCCGCTTAACTAGTTTTCCGGTCATGTTGTCAGCTATTCCGGCGACGTTTGACTCTCTTTTCTCAAACCCATTCCCCGATTTCCCATGGGATTCTTCCTTCGATTTCCAGCCCCATGAACCGGCGGTTCTTCCGCCCGTTCCAACCCCGGTTCCCCAAGAACCGGTTATATCAAACTCCAGCTCCGGTTCATATGACGAGAAGCCGACCCCGAAGTCCGAAGCCAACTCTAACTCCGGTTCCGATGAAGGAAACCGAAAGCGGAGCATATCAGCCAACTCCGCGTCCGAAGTAGATGAACGGAAGCGGCGGAGAATGATCTCGAACCGGGAGTCGGCGCGGCGGTCCAGGATGAGAAAACAAAAACATTTGGAGAACCTGAGGAACCAAGCGAACCGGCAGAGACTGTTGAACCGGGATCTGCTGAACCGGGTTCAGACCGCCACCGCCCAGTGCCAAATGGTGCAGACGGAAAACGAGCGGCTCCGGGCGGAGTCGTCGGTGCTCCGGCAAAGACTGTGGGACATGAATCAGTTCTTGATTCTCCGGCAACTTCAGCAGCAGGTCTCTTCCTCCGCATCATCTGCATGGCCGTACAATTACAATGTGGAACAACAAAGACCGCAATCGTTAATTACGAGATGAACAAGTATTAACAATCGATCATTAAGTAAAATCAAATCAGAGGGTGGAAAACAATTAAACCATTAATTGATCAATTAATTAATGGAGTAAAAAAACCACGGCAATCATGTCTGATATGATCTATCTTTCTTAGCTAAATCAAAGCTAGCATATTAGCCGATGACTATTATTATATGTAAATAAGCGCCGTCCGATATACGTTTGGTTTTGTGATCTTTAAGTATATACTACGTATATAACGTATTCATATTACGTATTTATTATTAATGAGTCCTTTTAAAAGTCGTTTCAACGTTATTTTCATTCTATTGATGGACGATTTCATGATGAAAAGAGCAAACTTTATTTAATTATACATTTATTATATACTACAAGTATATATATATATATATATATATATATATATATATATATATATATACACACTCCTCCGTATTTATATACGAGTACCTAGTTTGAAGAAGCGCGTAATTTCCCTAATTCCCTCAATTAACCTCAGCTCTTACTAATTATGTACGTAGTATGGCATAAACAAATCAAACTTAACAAAATCTCAGTAGACCAGATTCTATAAAACTAATGCACAGGGCCGGTCCTATGTAAATAGGGCCTCTTCAATAGAATTTATTGGGCCTTTTAATACAGATCCAATTAAAAACCATTATAATAAATCATCATGCATTAATTATTTAGTCGTCATAAAATAATTATTCAACAGAAAACATACGACCACAAAAATATAAATAATTGTTAAAAGTACTTTCACAAAAATATAAAATTTAAAATTATTATCCAAACTTTAGAAATATTGATTTGAAAAGTCAATATTATTTATACGGACGAAGGTAATATGTTTTTAATATTATTACATTGTATTGTATTATATTACTCCGTAGTATTTATTTATACGGAATATTATATATTGTATAATAAATAAATAAATAAATAAATAAATAAAATTTCATTTGAATTATACCCCCTCCATCCCATTTTACATGTCCTACTTTCATTTATGAGTTATTTCTAAATAAGTATCACATTTCATTTTTTGAAAAGAAATGTATGATCTACAATATTACATGCACTTTATTATACTCAATTCTCGACTTTTATTGTTTGTTATTTGATTTTTAAGCATCGGTTTTTTACTTAAATTCAAATTTAGTTGTTAAACTTTAATATTGCCAATATTTTACTAATTTATTCTTTGATATAGAAATTAACTTTATTTTCTATTAATCGTCATATACCATGATTGACAATGTTGAATTAGGATGATTTCTTTTGGACTGTTTTCAGTCTCAAATCAGACCAGATCAAACTTAAATAGATCAGATTTAAACAGACTAGATCAGATCAGGTCGAACTTGGACAATTATAAAATACACAGATACCAGACATTTTCCAGAACAGATGAGTTCAGATCAGGTAAGACCAGACTTAAACGGACCAGTTTAGACCAGACTAAATCAGACCAGTAAATTTATGTCCAAAAGAAAACATCCGATCGATGGATTATTAAAATTTTAATATAGGTAATGAGTTTAGATTTTTCGTTGGAGGAATGGTTTCTATTTTTATTGTTAGGAACTCAAATTACTTGGACAAACTGAGTTCAGTCCACGTATTTTTCCCGGATTGGAAAATTAAAGATAAGGAAAAATTGATTATAATAATCCCAACTATTGACAGTCCGCTTATAAAAATCCCAACTATCGATTATTTCAGAATAATCCCAACTTTAGGGACCTTCCGCCAAAAATAGTCCCTGTAAATAAGTTTATGTACTTTCTAAAGTGGACGAGAAGAGATATAGCAAGTAATCCCTATAAATTATCCCTAAATTTTAATTTTTAAGCTTAATTTCTATTTAAAATTCACTTTTATAGAAGGTAATATTTGGTCATGGACCATTATTGGCAGACGGTCCATATAGTTGGGATTATACAAAAATAATCAATAGTTGGAATTATTGTTAGCGGACCAGCAATAGTTGGGATTATTATTTTCAATTTTTAGTAAAGATAAAACTCGGACCGGTAACAATTTTTTGAGTTGAGCCAATTCAGTTTTCCACATTCTGGAACTGTTCTAAAAGCGGAGTATTTTCTTGTACGGCGTAATAATAAATGAGTGAATCTCTATTCGTTTACTTTAATTATCTACAGAACTTGTACACGGCAGTATGATACGTAGTATGTTACTCTATTTTATTTAATAATGTACTCCCTCCGTCCCCTTTTAAATGTTCCGGAAGAGGGTGGCACGAGTTTTAAGAAAAGTAGGTTTGTGTGGTTGATATTAATAGATAAAGTAAGAATAAAGTAAAAATAAAGTAAGAATGATTTTGAGCCACACAAACTTTACCAAATAAGGTATGGGACAATTAAATAGGGACACCCCAATATGGTAAAATGGGACATTTAAAAGGGGACGGAGGGAGTATTATATATTAAATTTAAAAAAAATATTGTTAAATTGCTCTCATTTTAAAGTTTCAAAATCTATTTTTTTAATTTTTTATTAATAAAGTATGAAAAATGTTAATGGTTAAATTTATGCATTGACAAACGTAAAAATGAACAGTTACGTTTAAAAAAGAACGGTGGAAGTATATTGTTTAATTCAAGATGAAAAAGGTTTCTAGCAAGCTAGCTGGATGTTAGCGACATATCATTTATTTCTATAATAAAAATAGGTACAATACCACTCAGGACAGAATGAGGGTTGTGTAATCTAGTATAGATGCATGTTAGTCTATTAATCGTTGATTAATGATAATGATTATTATACAGAAATATAAGTACTCTTAGAATTAAATGAGGTTACTGCTCTAGATACATGTTAGTGACTATTTGACTAATTAATGACTACAAGTCCCCATCCGCTCAAACTGTGGAATACTCTTTTTATTGAATTCGATGATATCATGAAATCATTAACTTTTGGCTTTTATAGAATAAATAAATTAAACTACTAAACTGCTTTTTGACAAACTTATAACGCCAAAATGGGGTTTTTGACTTTTCAGTAGCATACTTTTGTGTTTTCTGTCAATAAATAAATAAACGGCCATATTGTTGTCTAATGCATTTTGATTTTCCAGCTTGTTTATTTCTAAAACCAAATACGGAGTACAATTTATTCATTCTATTTAATTTAATTAAAAACTTTAACGGACATTAGAAAGATTATATTTTTGTCTTTATTTTTGAAAGGAAAAATAACGATGAGGCTCGTTAACCATTAACAATACGGAGTATAAAACTGAAAAGAGATGTCAAAGCTGAAGACCTGAAGTCAGAGTGCAAAAGATAAAAAGGCGATAATCTTTAAATTAATATAGTGTGTATATATATGTTGAACATAGAAGAAAGCGTGCATCACAAATTTCTATGGTTTTTATAAGACATGATAAATTCTTTAGTAGAATCGTTTTCTTGAAGTTATCTAGTCTATTAATATATAGAGGCCCTTTGACAACATTGTTTTTCGGTTTATCAGCCAACTTTTTCACCAAATACGTAATTTTTGCTTTCGCGTGCTGAATTGTGTAATAAGCAGAAAAAGTAAGGTTGAAGTTACTTTTTTGGCTGTAATGACTGATGTTACTGTAGATGACCATTTTAGCTATTTGTATATAATTTTTTCTTTATTTTATTAATAAAATATATTTTAAAATTATTTTTTTCTTAAGTCAGTAGAATCAGCCAATGCAGCCACTTCAACCAGAACTTTATAAATTTCAGCAGAATCAACCAAATCAGCCGATTTTCGTGCTACCAAACGGGCTCATAAAGAAAACAAATAGCTCCTTAAAAAAATTGCCCTTAGTGAATCTTATTTGTCAATCTATCCTCAATTCACTCATTTCCTATAACAATGCCATGCGTCCAATTATTATACGGAGTACTAGTATTATACACCGTACTTCAAAATGAGCAGCGGGAGAGATGAAGTTGGTGGGACCCAAGTTATAAAAAAACATATTTTCCTTAAATTAAAGTGTTATAATTTTTTCATTTTTGCTCTAATATTTACAAAAAAAATATCAAACTTTATAATTTTTTGTATGAAATTATAATTTTTTGTAAGAAATCAATATTAAATATATAAAATATAGTCTTAGTTTTAAGAAAAATTTAATGTTATATTATCATTATTAAAGTACTACAAACATTATTCTCTCCTCTTATAAGTTAATCTAGCTAACGATTGAGTAAGAATATTTTCTCTTAAATGCATGTAGGTCTTTTTTGTATAAGATAAACCGACTAAGAATTGAGTTGAATAATTTTCTATCCCATATATGCTAGCACTAATTTAACTAATGAGTAGCAAGTTTTTATTTAACTAAAGAAGAATGGTCAAATAAACCCTTCTACTATTTCAATCCGTCGCTAAAGCCCCTCACAACATAGAGGCGGAGAGGACCTAGCCGCAGCTAGGGTTAGTATTTGGCGGCGCTTTCTTGCGCAGTTTTCCGCGGCGTTTTTGCGCCTCTTTCCACGGTCAGTTCACGGCAAGCCTTGGCAAACAAAGTTTCGAAACCTTCTTTAAAGTAGCGACACGACTTCTGCAATTGGCGTAGGGCCTAGCTTGTTTTTTTGACAAACGAAATGGGGAGCGGACACGACGGTGGAGATGTTGAAGCCCTAGCACAGGCATACGGTAAGTTGCAGATGGAGGAGGAAGATGAGTTCCTAATTGTAGAGCCTATGGCACAAAAATCTCCTAAACACAATCTGACCTTAGTTGGAACAATTACGTCAAAAAAGTCGGTACGTTTCACTCAATTTAGAGATATTATGGCATCTATGTGGAAACCTGAAAAAGGGGTTACTATAACTGAAATAGGTCCTAGGAGATATGTGTTTCAATTCTATAATGAGGAGGATATGAATAGGGTAACAGATGAGGGACCATGGCTTTTCGACCAGAATTTAGTTGTAATGAGTAGGATTAAAGAAGGGGATATCCTCATGTCTGTCCCACTGAACAAAGCAGAGTTCTGGATTCAAGTTCATGATATTCCAGTGGGCTATTTCACCATAGACAATGCGGAACGCACTGGGAATTTTTTGGGGACTTTTAAAAAAGTAGATGAAAACAATTTCTCTGAGAAGTGGGAATCCTTTATGAGGATTCGGGTCCGAATGTATCTAGGAAAACCCCTGAAAAGGAAACTATTTCTCCAAAAAGAGGAAGGGATCAACTTCTATGTCAGGTTTTGCTATGAGAAACTGCCTAGCTTTAGTTTTCTGTGTGGAATAATAGGTCA